ATGAGAATACCGATAGTGATAGACAACTGGTTGCAGGCACCCAAAGCACCACGAATCTTAGTCGGAGATACCTCACCAATGTATGTGGGGGTCACAACTGATTCAACACCGACCACGAAGCCAACGAGAACACGCTCGAACAACAGCTGCCAGGAAGTATGAGCCAATGCCTGCCATACGTAGCAAAGCACGAAACAAGGAGAACATCCAAGCAAGATCCACTTCCTACCGAACTTCTCGATCAGAGGGCCACCCAGAAGAATAGCACCTCCCATAGCACCAAGGTTAACCAATGAACCGAACAAAGAACCTTCTGTAGAGTTAGTGAACACCCAAAGATGATCATCGGGTCCGATTTGCACCGGTGTACCATCACTCATTGTGATTCCATTTTGCATGGTATCGATAGTTTGACCAGTGAAGCCCGAAGTCAAACCGAACATTAGTGGTCCAAAAAGGGACGCACCCACGGAGAGAATAGCGCAAAGGTACTTCATAGGATTAGAGGTGTTAGAGTATCACTATAAAAAACTGAAGAAAACCACCAATACCCAACTGAAATGTGACCAATCCACTCTTCTATAATCACGAATACCAATCTCATCCTTTGAATCACCTTGAAGCTAAGATTGGTAATAAGCTAATTAGCTTTGCCCAAGGACACTGCTAGTCCTCGGGGTCGACGCTTAGTTTGTGTTGGATCTGTCCCCTGCGGCTGGGAGTGGATGATACCAACTCGACATGGTCAATAGGAAGGTTAAAGATATCTCGCGATCTATTTGACGAGTGGGGCCGCTATGCCCAGTATAGACTATACCATTCAGAAACCTATCTGGCAAGTGGGGTCGCTATTCCCACCATGAACGGTACCATTCAGGAATGCGTTTCGTAAACGGGGTCACTATGCCCATTATGGACTATGACCTCTCGAGATCTACTTGGTAAGTGGGGTCGCTATGCCCACTACTGACTATACCATTCAGAAATCTATCTGGCAAATGGGGTCGCTATGCCCACTACGGACAATACCATTCAGAAATCCATCTGGCAAATGGGGTCGCTATGCCCATTGTAGACCATACCATTCAGAAACCTATTTGGCGAACGGAGCCGCTATGCCCACTGTAGACCATACCATTCAGAAATCAATTTGGCGAACGGGGCCGCTATGCCCGCTACGGACTACGATTCCATGTACGCGAGTGAGGGCGTGATTTATATTGGAGAACCGTATAGGCGGATGACAGGATTCAGCGGTGCTGTTCGTATCGAGATTTCAAGTTTGCGAATAACGACCTCAGCTCCACGATCAAGGAACAACAACTCCGTCGATAATCTGAGAGTTGCATTGCAGTGGTACCCCTCAGTGGTAATAGCTCGCCTCGACTTGTATATCATTTAATTGTTTATATCCCAAGGAAGAAGAGCATGAGGTGTTGCTGTTGCGGAAGAGCCTCGCTCAAAGAAAAGGCTCGAAATACCTTACCAGGACAGGTCCGGGCCGGTCAGATTTGAAATGACTTCTTTGCAATAGGCCCCAGAACGAAAGACCCCGAAGGCAGCAGGTGAAAAGTGAGACAGTAATACGGATGGAACTCCACATATCCCATCCCGAACGAACTCCACCCTACCTCCTGTATCAACATAAGCAAACCAATAGTGTAGTACATCGCGAAACAGCAGTTTTTTGACGGTACGCAAGATACGATACTTGGAAGGACTATAGTTTGTCTGTGGTTAAGGCGCTATAACACTCCAGTATCAACAGGACCTGACAAACGAGCGATAAGGGACTGGATATGTCTTTGAGCATGTCAAAAGCTTACCAATCCCAAGTGAGGGAAGACGAACACCGGCGAGCTCATCACATAGAACGTCAGCAAGAGAACGCTGATTCCTCCGATGTAGTAG